GTTATTAATTGTTTTATATATATATCAATTTATATAACATATATTTTCATTCATAACCATAATAATATAATTTATAACTATGACAAAGAATTTGGAGATGCCTTAAAATTGGTAATGATGGTATTTAACAATTAATATAATTATTAATTATCATTATAAATTATAGATGAATTAATCAATAAAATTATAGAAGAAATTATTATCTGCAAATTTAGATTATTTTTCAATTTTTTAAAGCAAAAGCAAATAACATATTGTTTAATTTTCTGCAGCAGAATTTGAGCAATAGTTTATCAAATATTCTTAAGTAATTCAGATATTTTTACAAAATAATTATAATTATAAATACATTATGAAATTTTTAGAAAGAATATGACTTGTATGATGCAATTGAATCTGGTCCCTACTATCAACTTATAAATTAAGGGATTTTTATGTTTTATTAAAATATTCTTTTTAAACTTATGGCAGTTTCATTTCAATGAACAGTCGTTTAAGTGAAAAATTAATTTCCAAATGCGATTCAATGGTAAGGATTTGTTCTTGAATTGATAATGTTAATTACATTCTGTTTTTAAGCTAAAATAATTTTGTTTTTAGATAATGTTTACTAACACATAAAAAATGTAAAAATGACTTATACACTAAGTGATATTTAAAATAAAAAAAATCTTAGGTATTTAGTTTAATATTGCTGAGAACATCTTTGCGAAAATGTTTAGGAATGGATTTAGGTAATAGAAAATCCAAAAGGAATAATTCTAAGAATAAATAGAGATATATAATTACCATATATCTGTAATTAATTAAGATGAATTTTTAAGACTCCTAAATAAAGAAAATATAATTATAATAATAAATAGAATAATAATAATTTGTTTTATTTTTTATTTTTTTCATCCAGGAATTAGTATTATTTTAATCTTTAAATTTCTTCTTAAAGATGACTATTCTTTTCATTATTCAATTCTAAAATTTTAATACGATTCTTCAAAGCTAATTATAATATCTAAACATACAACAATAATTACTTTATAATATTAAATTGGATGTAGTGAATATTACTATAATACTTTATTATTGAAGACAAATCAAATTAAAAAAAATGATTTGAAACAATTTTCTAAATTTCGCTGTATCTAAAGATTAAAAATTTTTTCGGAATTTTATCTTCAAATTGTTTAAGAAAATTTTTTTTAATCTTTAAATAGTTCCTCAATCTATACAGCATAATAATTCAATTTAAAGATTTATTTAATATTAGTTTTTAACAGAGGCTTCTATTTTAATTTATAAAATGTCCTGGTTTAATTATTACTGCAATTATTATTCCATTTAAAAGGGTTAAATTCTATTTTATAATGAAGAAGCATCATCTTGATTTATTATTTATAGCTCTTCCTTATCATTATCAATCATATTCTCTAATTTATGTTTATTCATACATAGTCCATCTATTTAATATATAATTATGCCATAATTGAATTCATAAGCCTTTTCTAAGTGCTTAATTTTAACATTAGTTCTATTAATGAATAAATATTAAATTTAATTGATCACCTCGATATATTTACAAAAAAAATAAGAAATAATTCTTTACTCAAATTTGTGATAATTTTTGTATAATAATGAATGAATCAAAATTGTGATTAAATAATATATTTATAATTATCTACACTTTAACGCTTATCAATATAGTTATTGTTTGAATTTTTTATAACTTAAAAATCTAATTTGAATTTTATATTAAAGAAATAAATAACATAAAAAATGAAAATAAAGTTTTGGATTTAAAAATAACATTAAAGAATTTACTTGATCCTAATCTTTGAAAAATTACTAGCATAATTAGAATTAGTTGATCTTAATTTAGCTAATAACACTCAATAGAGTGTTTAGGAAATTGTTGTTCCTAATAAATTGCAAAAAAAAAATAAAGCAATTAAAAAATGATAAACTTAAAGATTAGGATATATAATCTTATATGGACTTCTATAACTTATTTTAGGCATTAAAATTATTTATAGATTATTGTAAAATTGATTTTTACTTCTTCATAGGAGAATATAAGATATAAAGAATATTTTTAAATTAGATATATTGACTTATTGATATTTTTATGAAAATATATCTCATTCTTTAATTTTTTTTAAGAACTCGCCCGTTTTATACGCTTTCTTATTTTCATGAATTAAAGCTTGAATTAATTATTTTAACATGAGTTAATGTTAATGAAAAATAATTTAATCACTTATCGCAATGATTATTAGTAGTCTCACGCTTAAGTTATATAATATAGAATTTACAGTTTTTTAAAGTAGTTTACTCATATTATTACTCTCTCCGGTTTTATTCTTAATAATATTATCATAATAACATAATTTGAAGAAGAATTGGAGGAAATTTTTAAATTAGATTAATATATTGAAAATTCTTGGAATATAACTTAATAATGCTAGTGCTATAATGTAAAAATGATAACCTTATGATTTGACATTCATATCTTAGAAATATTGATCTCTAGCTCATATACAAAGAATTCTGAAGTCAATTAATGATTATATTTATCCCATAATAAAAGATTAAGAAATTTTTCACCTATTGACCGTTGAATCATGAAATGCAGTTTAATCTTTCTTGGATATCCAAAGAAAACAAAGAATCTTTTAAATATTCTATTCTTGTGTTAAATATTCTTGAAATGATTAACACTAACATTATTCGTAAGAATATGTAGGTACATTGTAAGTTACCAAATCCAATCCATCCTGACAATTACCTATCCGAAGAATTAATCTATTGATGGATATTTAATTGTTACTCTGAATATGTTATACCATGCACTAAGATTTGGTCCATCAATTCATTTATACCATCCTCTGTAGGAATATTCTGATGAAAATTTATTGCCATTTCCACCAAATCTTTTAATACCAAATCATCTTTCTATTATCTTTATTCTGAATCCTTTGATTTGATTATAATGCAATTATTGTTAATGGACTTAGGTTTTTTCTAAAATAATCATTAACTATGCTTATCTTATCTACATAAGCACTTGATTAAGTTGAGAATGTCACCAATTTAAATTGTTCACTAAATCCTGGTTATCTCTTATTACCATTTCCTCCTAATATGAATTTCAAGAATGTAACTGCTGGATGTGTCATCTCTATATTTGATAAATTCTCATCCGAATTATATTAATAATAAACAAATGGACATTAACAGGGGTTAGCAAAATGGTAAGATCTCTATCCTTGCCAAATAGCTAATTTTCTATCTCCCAGCAAGATCTTTGTCTAGATCTCTTGCGATCTAAGAATATACTAAAAGTGAATAGGTCAATTCGCTTACAATCGTATTTGGCGTTCCAATCTTTTCAAAATGAGCTTTAATTTTATCAACACAATCTATAAATTCTCCAAGAAAAGCGCTGAATTTGATTTATTTGAAAATACCATTAATAGATATATGCCCATAAACTAACTGTATTATCAAAATGTCAGTATTATTAATACATGTAGAAGATAATGAGATTCCCGTTTTTAATGATTTTTATTATTTGGATTATACCCATTTTAGACCAGTGCAAGTAGTACAATAAATATTACCCTTCATTTGCTTGGAGTTAAGGTTATTTTTTATTCTTAAAATATTTACCTATAAAAACATTTTTACAATGCATTTAAGTTGTTGCAAACTGGAAGAAAAAGTTCCTATTGTAATTATTTACTCAATACTAATACGACACTAATATATTCCATACTGAACTAATGGAAAAATTTTGATAATACGGTATTAAATTCTTTATTTTGTTTAATATCCAGATAATCTTTAGGCAAACCATTAAATTTTAATCCAAGCATTAAATTACAAAATTTATTTGAATATTTAATAGAAATAATTATCAAAGTCTACTTTTACATATGATTTTTGCTTGAACTTAAATAATAATGATTAAATTATAAGTCTCTAAACCTAAAGTAAAGTCAAAAGATTCTCTAAATTATTATAATTTTTATATGGCTCAATCTACATACAAAAAAATGCATTACTTTTAAAAATATAAATATGAACATCGAAGCCTTTAATATCTCCTTTTTTTATTAATGAAATCTCATTTTAAATTATCAACCATATAAAAAAATAAGAATTCATTGATTTCTATTTTTTATAAATGCATACTAGTCTATTTGAATACATTTAAATTATTTTCAAATCATCTTCGAAATTTCTTTAAAACTTTATAGATCTAATTTAATTCATCTTAAATCTCTGAGAATACATCACTCAAAAATTTTGATATATATTTAAACTCTCTATTAACTAATTATTAAATAGA